CAACAGAGCAGAGAATAAGTTTGTCATCATCAGACACTGTCGTAACTCATCCACGTTGCTAACTGCTAACAGGCTAGCTACGTAACAGTTTATATGTTTGTCGTATGTATGTGACGTGTACAATATAAATATAAAATATATAAACTACAAACCGCTGCTGCTCCAGAGTCACGTTTTAAATAGTCTGATAATAAACAGCGCAGCGAGCACAGCACTTCCGCATTCTCAACACTGCATCACACTTTACGGCGAAGCCCGATTAGACTTGTGATTGGCCTGCGCACTGGTGGTGCGTTCAAAGACACAGAGAAGATCAGAAATATGAAAAACAATCGGTTCACAGGAGAGAAAAAGCATCTGGTCACTACTTCAGATTTAAAGATATTATTCTGTCTGTTCTTGGTAAACACACAAAACTCACTATTATCAACTCAAAATGTATCGTTACATTATCATGATGTAATGGTCCTGAATCCGGTTTTATTTTGAAACGTTTCAGCGTTTTTAATTCACTGGAAGAAACTGAGTAAAAACCCTTCAGCAGTTCACTGAGGTGTGTCTTAAAGACAGGGACACGGTTTATCAAACAAGAGTCTTCGGTGAGACGTGTCCAATTCAGGTCTTCTGTTCTTTAAGACATTTTATTCTAAAAGGAAGTAAAGTGGGAGAAAGTTGGGTTTTCTCCTCTCGCGCCAGTGTTTCATTTTTTACAGTGTGACGCAGGAAGGCCTCGCTGAACAAGTGAAAGTAAAAGTAGAAACAAGAGAAAAGCTCTGACACGAGACAGAGTCTTGTTTCCAGGTCCACAGTTGTGTTGTTCTTGTTTCCAGGTCCACAGTGAAGATGCTCCACAGCGGGAGAAGCTCGGAGCTGCAGTCTGGAGGATTCTGCTTCGAGAACAGCCGCAGGTGAGAAACACGCACCTGCTGAGACTGACGGTAGATATATCCACACTGTGTACAAGTACATATAGAGATATGTATTTGTACAAGCTGTCAATCACACGGTGGTATCCAGCATCTAAATGATCTTAACTGATAAATGAACATCAGCTGTTTGAAGAAGACTTGAAACTCCTGAGGACAAAGTTTACTGACGTTATAAAGTGAGAGGAGACATTTTCTATAGAAACTACCAGAGGAGACATTTTCTATAGAAACTACCAGAGGAGACATCTTCTATAGAAACTACCAGAGGAGACATCTTCTACAGAAACTACCAGAGGAGACATCTTCTACAGAAACTACCAGAGGAGACATCTCCTATAGAAACTACCAGAGGAGACATCTTCTATAGAAACTACCAGAGGAGACGTCTTCTATAGAAACTACCAGAGGAGACGTCTTCTATAGAAACTACCAGAGGAGACGTCTTCTATAGAAACTACCAGTAAACACATCTTCTACAGAAACTACCAGGGGAGACATCTTCTATAGAAACTACCAGTAAACACATCTTCTATAGAAACTACC